ATTTTTAAGGAGAGAGGAGAAAGATTTAAAAGGGACCTGAGGGGCAATGTTTTCACACAGGGTGGTTTGTGTACAGAATGAACTGCCAGAGGAAGTGATGGATGCAGGTACAGTTACAACATTTAAAAGACATTTGGGTAGGTATATGAATAGGAACGGTTTGAAGGGATAGGGACCAAACACTAGCAAGTGGGACTAGTTTAGTTTGGGAACTTGGTCAGCATGGACAAGTTGGACCGAAGGGTCTGTTTCCACCTAACGCAGTGGCATTTTTCTGCAGGTGCTAATTTGGATCTATAGATCTCCAAACTTCACAACAGATGTAAAGCTTAAATTTCTTCCATGCACAGAAAATGTAGAGAAAACAGCACTTTCTGAACCAAAAGGTATCTTCAAATAAAACTGTTGGATTTATTCCAACCCTTCTCCCTTCCTACATAATCCTGCAAAATTTCCAATTAAAGTACTCATCTAATTCCTTCTTGAAAACCTTCTATGAAATCTGCTTCCACTAACCTCACAAGCATGGCATCTCCCTTATTTACACGCAGATCCTTCATGATGCTGAAACCATTCAGCCAACTTGGAGAACAAACCCAACTTCCCCAGTCTTTACATGCAACTGTGCCATTATTACTGGTATTATTCTAGTCATCCCCTGCCACACTCTTGACATTCCTTCCTACAATAGCGTTCAGAATTGGTCACAATACTCCCATGATTTAGGTAGGTTTTCGATTAATTTCTTGCTGCACTCTATGCTCCTGGTTATGAGCATAAAAGGCTCTTCCACTTGACAACATCTTTCCCAAGAAATCTGCCATCTTCGAATGTTTTTCCAAGTGAAGCCCCAATTCTGCCCATACACTTCCTTTCAACGTATTCCATTTAGTTTACATTGCCTATTTGCATTCTTCTTATTAAAATCCATCACTTCACAGTCCTCAGAAATAAATTTCATCTACATGTGTCTTCCCATTTCAGTCTATGTTCTCCTGAATATTTTTTTATTCATTCATGGGATGTGGGCTTTGCTGGCAGAGGTAAAATTTGTTGCCCAGCCCTAGTTGCCCTTTAGAAGGCAATAGCGAGCTACCTTCTTAAACTGCTGCTGGCAGATCCAGAATGCTGTTAGGGAGAGAGTTCTAGGATTTTGCTGCAGCAACACTGAAAGAACAATATGTATCCTAGCCAGGATGATAGGTGGCTTAGAAGGGAACTTGCAGGCTGAGATGTTCCATGTATTTGATGGTCGTCCTTCAGGATAATAGGGGTTGCAACTTTGAAAGATTTTACACACTGCTGCTATCATGCATTGATGGTGGAAGGAGTGAACATTTATGGTTGTGGTGTCAATCAAGCAGTTTCTTTGTCTTGAATGGCATCAAGCTTCTTCAGTGTTGTTACAGCTGCATCCATCCAAGCAAGTGGGAAGCATTCCATCATACTCCTGACTTGTGCCTTCTAGATTATGGACAAATTCTGGGGAGTCAAGAGATCAGTTACTCACTGCAGGATTCCTAGCCTCTGACTTGCTCTTGTAGTATTTACATGACAAAGTGAGTTCAGGGCCTGTCAACAGTAATCTGCAGGAAGTTGACAGCGGGGATTCAGCAATGGTAATGTTATTGAATGTCTAGAGGCAAAAATTAGATTATTTCTTACTGGAAAGGGTCATCATTTGGCACTTATGTGGTACTTGCCTCTTGGTTGCCCAAGCCTGGATTTTATCCAGGTCTTGTTGCATTTGCACAAGGATTGCTTCTTTATCTACAGAGTCATGAATCGTGCTAAAAAAAATTGTGAAATCAGCAGCAAGCATCTCCATTTCTGAACTTATGGTAGAAGAAAGGTTGCTGATGCAAGTCAAGGACATGCTGAGGAACTAGCACTGATGTCCTGAAGTTGAGATGACTGACTTCAAACAAGCACAACTATTTGCCTTGGATCTCGGTGTGAGTGCAACCAGTGGAGAATATTACCCGATTCCCACCGATTGTAGTTTTGCTCAGGCACCTTGAAAACACACGCTGTTAAATGTGACCTTGATGCTAAGGTAGGTCACTCTTAGCCTAATTGTTACCACCTCATTTTTCCACATTCAAGTTTGGATCACCTGCAAACTGTCTTGTATGTGCAACTCCAGGTCATTAATATATACCAAAAAAGTGTAGCGAGCCTAATACCAATTCCTGCCAATCAACTCAGTCTGTTTCTCCTCAATCTGTAGAACAGCTGTATCACTGCTTTCAGTCCCTGAGCTTTGTATCCATACTATCACAACCCCTACTGGATCCTGTAATTCAATTAAGTCAACAACACGACTGCGTTACTTTATGCAATGAAGTACTGTTCTGTAACATTACCATAGCCAAAACTAGGAAAAAAAGACATGCAAAACAGGTACACCAGCAAGTTTGAATTCCAGTGAACAACTAAAGTTCTAAATCCTGCATTGTTATTTTCACTATACTGGATTTTTAACAAATATTACAACCATAAATATTAGCCATGCAATTGCCTCATGGGACAACACTTCACAGCATCTTCACAATGAAAAAAAATTTCTGCAACCAAGCTGGCTTAAAGAAGGCTGAAAACCAGTAAGATGTAAACTTCAATCCACAACGGAAGCTCTCAGTTTCCAGAGGTTTGTCATTTAGGGCAAGATTGTGAAACGTCAATGGGAAAAAAAAGACAGTCCAATTAAAAGCTTTTCACACATTCTCAACTTTACTTAATGGTTTACGACTAGAAAGCACCCTGCTAATGTAAGCAAAATATTTAACTTTTGTGATACCAAATACCCGCCCCACCACCCCTTTAGCAACTGTGATTCCCAGGGTGAAGCATTAAAGAGTGCCCTGATATTTGTTTAAGCACTCTCGTGATACGGCGGTGGTGTTACTACCTCTGAATCAGGAGGGACTGGGTTCAAATCACACCTGTACCAGAGACATATAACAAATCTCTGAACAAGTTTGTTTGGAAAATACCTATAAAACATGAGTGCGGAGAGCGAGTGTTACACGTTCTCAATCAGTTTTACAATGGAAATGAAATCCGAGTACGTCTTGACATGGGAATAAGGAGGAAGCAGCTGGACTGAACCAGGAACAGACAGTGAAACACTAGAACAGGTGGCAGACACAATGCCAACCTTGTGCCACCGGCACTCCTCTTGACGCTATACACAACTTGGCCCCGGGCCAGTCCACGTTACTATCAGGAAAATTAATACAACAACACGAATGAAAAACAAAGTCACAAATTTACAGGATCAAACCAAATTGCTGTAAAAACCTCATCTGCGAACTCCAAAAAGTGCAATGGTCTTTTAAATCTTATAATGAATTGCAAAAGGACTTCATTTCAACTGTTAAATAAGTGACATGGTTGGGGGGGGGGTGGTGAGTTTGTTTGGAGGGTTCAAGGATTTGGATAAAATGTCAAGGAAAGACAGAGCAGATCGGAGCCGGTAAAGAGACGAAGGAGGTTCCCTGCATACCCACCCAGGCCGGGAGGTCGGTGCTCTGGATGTTCTCCTGCAGAGTTTTCTCTTCGTGCTCCAGGAACGCCAGCGCCCGGAACAGGCGGGAGCGCTTGTTGCCCCGGTTCCTCCGCCACCAGAAGAAGACGAGAAGCCCGATGAGGACCCAGCTGAAGCTCAACCCCAGGTAGCCGAGCACGTAGACCGGGAAGACGATGACAAAAGTCTTGGAGAACTGCAGCAGGACCCCGGCGATGTCCACGCTGATCATCGGCGGCGGCGGTGGTGGAGGCTCCTCGATCAGGCTGGCTCTCCGCCCGCCGTCGTCCGCCGCCGCCGTCTCCGGTACCGTTTGGTCGTTCATCTCCATTCGGGCCTAGTCACCAGGCTTCTCCCTCCTGACTGACTGAACTCAAGAGGTGATCACACCACCTCGGTTATTTTCTAAGCTTTCGCTGGAGCCTCTTAGCGCGCTCCTCCTTTCAACCAATGCCAGCTCTGTCACCGCCCCGATCCCCCCCCCACCCGCCTCTCCCAACCCCATTCTCCTCTTCGGAGTCAGTCTCCGCCCAGAGACCGCGCCCCGCCGTTATATCCCCGCCCTCCTTCGACTCAAGCACGCCCCTGTCTACGTGATGACGCCATACATCTGCGTCATCACGCCACTACCGCCGCACGTCCTGCCTCTGACATCAAAAGTCTGGGCGGGGTTAATGCCAATCAGAGTTGGAGGAATTTCTCAAGGCTGGGATAGGTCGTTAGGTTGGGTCCCTTTAAAACCCCCTTTATCTTTAAATGTTACACACATAAATTCTAAATTGGTGATAGCAAGAACTGCAGAATGAAGAGGCAGGCATAGCTTGTGCCCATGGCCACTTGTATGCACTCGTAACCCCCACACGGATGCTAAAAGCCCTCCGCTTCTTCCTCTTCCACCATGGCTACTTGTATGCACTCATATCCCCCATGCAGCTGGCCTAAAAGCTTCATCCTCTTCTGCAGGCCCAACCAATCCCCCTCCACCAACACCTTCATCTGCTTAACCGAACTTGTCCTTGCGGATCCTGAACAACTTCCCCTTTAACTCCTCCCACTTCGTACAGACTAAAGGGGTGGCCATGGGCACCCGCATAAGCCCAAACTATGCCTGCCTCTTCGTAGGATACGTGAAACAGTCCCTCTTTTGCTGCTACACTGGCATTGTCCTCCACCTCTTCCTCCGCCACATTGATGACTGTATAGGTGCTGCCTTGTGCTCTCACAAGGTGCTTGAACAGTTAATCAAATTTACTAACACTTTTCACCCCCGCCTCAAATTCACCTGGACCATCTCTGATACCTCCCTCTCCTTCCTGGAGCTCTTTGTCTCCATCTCTGGTGACCGCCTTGAAACTAACATCTATTTCAAGCCCACAGACTCCCACAGCTACCTCGACTACACCTCCTCTCACCCACCTTCCTGCAAGAATGCAATCCCCTACTCCCAATTCCTCCGCCTCTGCCGTGTCTGCTCCCAAGATGGGGCGTTCCACTCCCGCACATCCCAGATGTCCTCCTATCTCAAGGACCATAACTTCCCCCCTCCAGTGATTGAAAGTACCCTCAACCGCATCTCTTGCATTTGCCACACTTCTGCCCCCACATCCCTCCCTCCAACAAAAATAAAGACAGAATCAGCCTTGTCCTCACATATCACCCCACCAACTTTCACATCCAACGTATCATTCTCTGCCACTTCCACCACCTACAATCTGATCCCACAATCAAAGAGATATTTCCCTCCCCACCCTATCTGCCTTTTGTAGGGACCGCTCTCTCCATGACTCCGTTGTCTGCTCCACACTCCCCACTAACCCCACCACCCCTGGCACCTTGACCTGCAACTGCAGGAAGTGCTACATCTGCCCCTACATCTCCACCATCACCTCCATTCAAGGCCCAAAACAAACCTTCCATATGAGACAGGGGTTCACCTGCACATCCGTCAACCTGGTCTACTGTATCGCTGCTCCCAATGTGGCCTCTCTACATCAGTGAGACCAAGCGTAGACTCGGAGACCATTTTGTAGTGTTTCTGCACTCTGTACATAACAAATGACAACATCTTACAGTCGCCAACCACTTTAACTCCCCCTCCCACTCCCTGACTCCATCCTGGGCCTCCTCCAGTGTCACATTGACATCACCCGCAAACTGGAGGAACAACACCTCATATTCCACCTTGGGGGCCAACAGCCTGATGGCCTAAACATGGAATTCACCAGTTTTAAAATCTCCCCACCCCTGGCTTCATCCCATGTCCAGGCCTCCCTCTCATGCCCACCTCCTTGACCTGACACAACCTGTCCATCTTCTCTCTCAACTATCCGCCCCTCCTATCCCAATCCCCACGACTCCCTACCTGCACTCACCTATCACCATCCCACCTACCTTCCCCAGCCCCACCCCTCCTCTCTCTATTTGTTTCTGAGCTCCCCTCCCCCTCCCCATTTCTGAAGAAGGGTCTTGACCCGAAACATCAACTTTCCTGCTCCTCTGATGCTGCCTGGCCTGCAGTGTTCCTCCAGATCCATGCTGTGTTACTTCCAAATTGGTGCCTTGAGAATACAGAACTCCAGTGTTGCTGATAAAGACGCTGTTGTCGAAACCTCCTATTTTGTATGCATCAGAACATTGGCAAGGACACCAAGATAAGGGAGAAAATCCTAAACTGTCAGACATTGTCCGATTGGTGCAATCTCTAAGGGAACACATTGATTGAATGGAGCCCATTTGCCAACCAACCCAAGCCCTTGCTGTACATTCATTATAAAGTATTGTTCCCTTTTGCGTTGATTTTCTTGTAATATCCTAATAAATGCAAGATGAAAAACTTTGACAAAATGTTTCTTTTTTGAACAACTTCCAAATTGTGATATCAACAATAAAAAAGCCTTAAATTTATAATTTTGATTCCTTTATGACCTGTGCAGTCAAGTTCTTTAGGGAAGGTAGAATATTTACAGGCTTCTTTGTTGAAACATATTTGTACCAGCCATTAAAAAAAGCTTTCCAGCCTGATCCCACTGCCTATAACTTCTCCAGTGCTTTAGTCCTCTGACTTTTTGTTCATTCCCAATTTTAATTGCTCCATTATTAATGGACACACCTTCAGTTGTGCTGACCCCAAGCTCTGGAATACATGTCTCCATTTCCAGACCTCACTTTTATCATTTGTGACACTTCTTTAAAAAAATCTCCCTGCAAGCTTGTAGTTTGATGGTGTCCTTTGCTTTATAATGAACAAATGAAATTATTCCTACTTAAACTTGATGGAACATTTTATTCATTTTTAAAAATATGACCATTGGATGTGGGCATTATTGGCTAGGCCAGGATTAATTTCCCATCCCTAATTCTCTTTGGCAAGGGGTTGTTGTCTCGGATTCTCCAGCATCTGCAGTTCCTACTATCTCTGATAAACCAAAAGAATGCTGTTATGTTTCAAAGTCAGGATGGAGTGTGGCTTGGAAGGGAATTTGCAGATAGTGAAGCTTGGGCCCTGGATTGGAAAGTCCTGTTGAAGGAGGCTTGGCGTGTTTCTAGTGTCATGGTGCATCAGTGGTAAAGAAAGTGAATGTTGACGCTGACTGAAGGGCTACCAATCAAACAGGATAAGAACATAGGAACAAGAGTTGGTAATTCAGCCACTGATCTGCCTTTTAATATAAGTGAAGCCACTTGAGCACTTCAATGCCTTTTGCCTGCATTACCCCCATAACCCTTTACCCCACTGGTAATCTGTAATCTAGCAGCTTCTATGTTAAATATACTTAAGGACTGATCATCAAGGTTTGATTAATTGATGGGCTGGCTGGGCCATTTCAGAATTAATCAAATTTTTCTTGGTTTGAAGTCATATATAGACCAGATAAGGATGACAGATTCTGAAAACGGTGCAACATTAATATAAGTTTCAGTTGGTTCCAACTATTGCAATCAAATTGCACAAAAGCCAAAATGACTAGGAATGATTACAGTCTCCATTCGATCAAGTGTGGCATCAAGGAGCCCTAGCAAAACTGGTATCAATGGGTTTTGGGGACAAAATCTCCCTCGATTGGAGTCATAATTGGCATATAGGAAGATGGACATGGTTGTTGGAGGCCAGTCATCTCAGGTCCAGGAGATCTCTCCAGGAGCTCCTTAGAGTAGTGTCCTAGCCCCAACATCTTCAGCTGCTTCATCAATGACCTTCCCTCATTGATAAGGTCAGATGTGGGGATGTTTGCCAATAATTGCATGATGTTCAGCATCATTCACAGTTCCTCAGTACTGAAGCAGTCCATGTTCAAATGCAACAAGATCTGGACAATTTCAAGGCTTCGGGTGACAAATGGCAGGTAACATTCACACCACACAAATGCCAAGCAATGACAATCATAAATAAGACATAGTCTAACCAACACCCCTTGACATTCAATGGTGTTACCATCATTCAATCCCCCACTATCAACATCCTGAGGGTTACCATTGACCAGAAACTCAACTGGATTCACCACATAAACATAATAGCTCGAGCTGCAGGCCAGAGACTGGGAATACTGCAGTGAGTAACTCACCTCCTCATTCACCAAAGTCTGTCCATCATCTACAAGGCACGAGCCAGGGGTGTGATGGAATGCTGCACACTTACCTGAATGGGTGCAGGTCCAACAACATCCAAGAAGTTTGACACTATCCAGGACAAGGCAGCTCACTTGATTTGCATTACATTCACAAGCATCCACTCCCTCCAGCACTGACATTCCATCGTACTATCTACAAGATGCACTGCAGAAATTCACCAAAGATCCTTATACAGCACCTTTCAAATCCAGGACCACTTCCATCGAGAAAGACAAGGGCAGCAGATATGTGGGAGCACCACCATCTTCAAGTTCCTCTCCAAGCCACTTACCATCCTAACTTGGAAATATATCACCATTTCTTCACTGTCACTGGATCAAAATCCTGGAATTCCTTCCCTAAGGGCATCGTGGGTCAACCCACAGCAGGTGGACTGCAGCAGTTCAAGACGGCAGCTCACCATCAACTTCTCGAGAGAAACTAGGGATGTACAACAAATGCTAGCCAGACAGCAATGCTTACATCCCACAAAAGAATTTAAAGAAGTGAAAAAAAGTGTCTAGAGGAGGTATGAATGGCTGGATTGTGGCTGTCTGAACACAAAAAGAACACAAAGAACAAAGAAATATATGAAAAAACTTAATGAAGAGAAAACAGATACAAAATAAAATGCAGGCAGAGGTAATGATCTAAAATTGTTGAATAAAATGTTAAGTTCATAAGGTTGTAAACTACTGAATCGAAATTTGAGGTGCTGTTCCTCAAGCTTGTCTCGAACGTTATTGGAATACTGTTGCAGTGGAAGTTGAAAAGGAAAGAGATAAAATTGGTTCTATTAATTTATGAGAACTTTTTTTGTTCACTCTTCTGTGGACACTGCTGGC